CTTCTGGGTCATAATTATGAGTGTTGCCATACGCAGGGTTTCCCAGTCTCCAGTCCTTGTGACCCACCACCAATCATACGCCTGATGATTGTTCAACGCGTCCCGAGCGATGCACTGAGAAATTCATGCGGTCTGCATTAATGGGGCCTGTTCGAATTAAGGTTGAGATCTCAGTGTGTGTGCGTGTTGCAATATGAACCCGGCGACCCGAGTTCGATTCCCGCTCACGGCCACCAACACCAGTGACGATTATCTGAACCGGTCCTGGGCCTCCCCATAGGTCGACTCGGCCCCACATGAGTACCTGGTGCGGTGTGTAAAAACATCGCCACTGGGAGACAAAGGCGGTCGCACGTGGTGTTGGCCACGTACCTCCTCGTTTACCGTCCTGGTGTTCATTGGTGCTCGCTAACAGCACTTGCCCCCACAGTCTGTTAAGGCTATACAGTGGATCCTTTGTTTTTTTTTACTCTTGTTCCGTGTGCGTGCGCATGGGATCCCTGTGCGCATGTGCTCGGTATAAATGTATGTTGAGCAACTTTTGCACCATATGTAGTCAACCGTGCTCATCGCAGACAGCGTTTATTGATTAGCGCTTCACGTGGGACGTGTGGGCGCATGCGGCATGGTTGTTATTGAAGGGCGGGGAGTTAATTGGCTAAACACAGAAAGACTAAGTAGCATGGGCTGGAGTTTGGGAAATCCTGGTCATACAAACGTCCCTCTGTTGTCCTCCGGTTCCCCCGCCCCCCCCCGCATTTAGAAAAATGCATTTAGATTATTTCGCTGCTCGAATATTTTCAAGCAATAAGCCACTTTGTTGAGCTATCATTTGTGGCCAGGTCGCTTCTGAAATAAGTGATATTAAAAAAAAAAAACTTTTTTTCAAACACGCTTTCATGAAATGTACCGTACTAGTAATGGCAGAACTCCACGACTCCAGGTTAGTGACCCCGAAGCTTGCCATAGCGTAAGGGACTGTGGTGATTTACAGCCAACGTCAGTTGAGCGTGGACAATTAGACCCAAGCCGAAACATTTAATCTATTTATTTATTTTTAATGATCGAATATAGTATTGTCATCAGTATGACATAAGTATACCAAGTTTGCAATCGATACCACATTGGGAAGTGGGTAAAAATTTAGTTACAAGATTTGAGGATAATTAAAAAAGCGTATAATAAAATAGCTATATAGCTCATTGGGCCTTACCTGGTAATATGAAAAAATGTGTTTAGTTTTGTATTTTTTCAGTGATTTGTTTACTTTTCCTATACTCTGCACTCTTATCGTGTGTTGTTGTTGTATTGTTTGTTGTTGTAACGTTCCTGACCCCGGCGCCCTCTTCCTGGACATGTGTCGAGAGAGAGCTTCATAGCCCATCGATTCCTCTCTCAGTAGAAATGAAGATTCCGACTCTGATCTGATTCTGATCGTAGAGGATGGCCACCGTTGACTCCCCCCACCCACGCGCGCGCGCTCTGTACGGACGCGGGAGTGAGGGGGGCCGCGTGCGTGGGGTGTCGGTGGTTGTCGCGGTGATGATGACGGCGGCGCGCGCCCACGTTTGGTATGTCGAGGGGGTGCCGTCGTGTACCCTGTCTGGGTTTGGCCGGGCCGAGCGCTGGCGCTGGTGGCAGCGTGCGCAGAACTAACCTCGCGCCGCCGCAATGACCCTACATGGCGCGGCCGCCGCACATTTTTTGTAGCTGCTCTCTCCGCACGTGTTTCCCATTAAAAGCCAGCGGCGTCGTTGCGTACATCCGAGCGGTCTCCTTCTTCTTGACGTACGGCCGATGTAGATGCGGCGCAACGACTACTATCTCGCGTTCAGGTTGGTCAAGGAGCAGTGGAGTGCATCACTGCGATGTCTGCCTTCGTATTTGTGGATCGGGGGGGGGGATTGCGGCGTTGCACGTTGTACTACAGTCTGTTCTGGATGACTCACAGTCGCGCACTACTGGAGTTCTTTTTCCATTTGTGCATCAGGTATCCGCGTCTACCGCCATGGTTTGTGCAGTGGATGAGATTTAGGAGGGGATCCGTGAGCTTCGTGGAAGGTCAAACCCACAAGGGGGCGGAGAACGGTGGTGTAGTGGTTCCTACCGCTGCGCTGTGTAATTTTATCAATGTAAAGTCTGGCGACCAAGGCGAAGGCATGAGAGCAGATAAAACTAAAATTGTCTTTTTATTTAGCACGTAATGTCCCACTCAGCTATGTACAGTAGCTCTTGTTCAGAAGCGACCTGGCAACAAATGATAGCTCAACGAAGGGGCTTATCACGTGGACATTTATAGCAGCTAAATACTCGTGTCGATTCTAAATGTGGAGAGAAAAACCAGAGGGCCTGGAGAATATTTCACGCGACCACAGGGAGAGAGACATGCAGACTCAAAATATACAGCATCAAGGTCGGGATCTAACCCATGACCTCCTGTATACCAGGCGAGGTAGTTAACATCTCGGCACCATCATGCCCATGGTGCTGGGACACTCTCAGGGCAGATCTTGTATCTACCATGCAGCAGTTGCGGGATCTGGCGGAGGGTACAGAGCGTTGTGGAGGTGCGGTGGTGGTGGCAAACACGGCCTTTGCACTGATGGCACCTTGATATTGATATTGAATGTAAAGTTTAAGCATATATCTCTCCATGCTTCTTTGCACAGTTTTCAAGTTTTTGTTCAGTTTGCGTCTTGTCACAGATGGTTAAACGCCGTTGTTGTTTACCAAGTCGTATTAAACATAGTGTTGTAGGTGGTTTAGCGGAAGAGCGAGTGGCTTGTAATTGTATGGTAGCGAGTTGAAATTGTGCTTGGTGTTTGACTCAGCCCACTATCATCATCATCCCTCCGGAGTTGACACAAACACTACCGCTTCGTGGGGAAAATTGCCAAGAGTGTTCTTCCAGTGGATGGACTCGCCTCCGTCACACGATCGTGGAATATCCGCAGCTGTCTCGCGGCTGTGAACGAGATGCGAGTGCTTCCTCGGCGCTCCTTCGAGCAGGAAATCATGGTGACCTCGCTCCACAAAACGGAGGCATCGCAGGCATTGGGGGTTTTTCGCCGATGATGCGGTATCGAGGAGAGCGTGATCGGCCTTAGCAAAAGGGGGCTGGAGGGGCCCCCAGAGTTGCCGAACAAACCTTTTATCTACAGTGCATAGGCAACTTTAAACCCCTCCCCACCCTCCACGAGATGGAACAGGGCAGCCTTGTGATCACCGCACGTCACTGTGAGCAGCGAAAGAATTCTCTTGCTGGGACCAGGCGGCCGCGGTGGTGAATATACTCCGAGTAAAATAAACGGCGACGTCCTTTTGCAAAAGTTGCAAGCAGCTGCGGAAAATAAACAAACACAGTTCGTCATCGCGCGTTTGCCGTGGACATATTTGGAAGCGGTGCATGCACGCAAGATGATGGATGCATAAAAACGTCTTTTTTATTTTTAAACAAAAATAACATTCCCACTCCTCCACGGGCCCACAAGGCTTTCATTGAGCAGCGCTTACCACGCTATAGGCCTCATTGTAAAAAATGTTAAACTATCATTATTATTGCGTGGATATTTTCGGTCCAATAAAGGCAACAAATTGTACCTGTACGGAGCAATGAATGGCCGCTTGCCTGCCTGCCCAACTACAGAGCAATCTGTTGGTCTGAGTTGATGTGTTCATGTGCCCTGTACAATAACAGCTGGAACGAACGGATGAGTTGCAATGGTTTTCAAAATGGTAATCAAAAGTGTTTCTCTCTGGGGGGGGGGCTTTGTCTCAGCTGGTGGCCCCAAACCAGAGGTGCAAATTACATTTTTGGCTACGATCCAAAACAGTCTTCTCTTGCCTTTCAACAAAGCGGTAGCCCTCTTGGCAACCCCTGAAAGATGATGGGCTGGCGTTGTGACATTCCACGTGGGGACATTTGCGATCATGAGCCGAGCGCTCCGAATCTCAAAAGAGCCACCCAGCCGGATTTAAAGTGCTCGGTGCCCGAGCCGACGAGAGCGCGAGTCGGCGAGAGGAGGGCCCTCATTGAATACGGCCCCCACGTGATGTCAAGGCCACGGTGTGACTTGAGCAAACCCACGCGATTACCGAGCCCTCGTCTCATTCGCTGGCATCTGTTTTTCTCATCGGTGGATGATTTGTGGGTTTTTAGAAGGTTGGTTTACGTGTACTTGTACGTGTTATTATCATGAAATGTTGCACACCGTTTGCATACGCAGTGCAGAGCTGTTGATTTCTAGAGTGCCTCCAATTTATATGTATGTATATTAAACTTCTTTCAAACCATACGTAGCCAACTGTGCTAGTTGGAGGTACGGGTGAAGGACAACTACACTAAACACAAAACGCAGTTCTAAAGAAATGCGTTTTCAATCTAGATTTAAAAGTGCGTATCTCCAGTGGCTTCCTTTATCGGAAGGAAGCGCGTTCCAGGCGGCCGCAGAAGCGCGTGATGGCCAGACATTTTAACACGTAGGCCTTAATGTTAGAATTTGGCAAAACCACATGCCAAATTAGAAAATGCCCCCTCCCCCCAAATGACTCAATTGAGACTACAACACAGCAAGCATTAGTCCGCCGACTGGCGGACTAATGCCTCGCATTTTCTCTCCTCGTGGCCGCTTGAGTTCTCACCTGGTGAAACAAAATAAACAACTCGGCTATCCCGGTATGCCGGTCTATTGCTAATGGCGTTTGACTCGCTTAAGCCTCAGGCACGGAGCCCAGAGACAGGGCTGGGGCTGTTGTCTGCTGGGAGTAGGATGGGGAGAGAGCGGTGGGAAATCCGGTCGGGGTCGAGCACAACTCTGGTGACAGTCGGTGAGAGATGGTCCCACGGGAGGACGTCTTGTGGGGCCCTGAGTGGGAACCGGGCGGGGATGTGGTCACGTGGTGAGACTGCGGTGATAGTGGTGGGAGTTGTCTTGGGTAGTCGCGCTAACACGGCCGCCGCGTGTCTGCCCATTGCCTTTCATGGCCACGCTCGTCGGCAGGGGGCTGTCCCGCCGCGCTCGCTCTCGGATGCCACCGGCGCCGGGCTCGCGGCACCAGCGCCGGGTGTCACTGACGGAGAGGAGACTGGAGTAGGGAGCGGAGCCGGTGGCGGCGCGCACCTCGCTCGCAGCAGGTACCGCTACCCCCTTCCTGCCAAACCCCCCCCACCCCCCGCCCACCCCCCCCTGCCCCCCGCCCACCCCCTTCGTCCAGCGGTTCCCATCCCCTCTGGACCCGCGGACCCAATGTCAACCCTCATATCACTTTCACGGACCTGCGCCCAACACACAATGTTCACAATTGAAACGACTCGTGAGTAACCAATGCCAGCCATCGGGCGTATTCGGTCAAAAGCCAGCCATGTTGATGACTCGTGAAAACGTTGTAAAATAGACGTGCAAACGGGTGGCGGTTGTGCAATGGGCGGCTCCGCAGAGCACTTGGAGTGCACCATTCTTCAATCCCACCCCCCACCCACCCCGTGCTGCAGCCGCCGTAGCCTTTTCCCGCCGTCTCTCTCTCTCGAGAGAGTGTCTGAAGCGTCGAGGACCGAGCGCTCCCTTCTGAGCCGTCGGCTGGAGGACGCTGGAGGACGCTGGTCTGCGCGTTGTCATTTGGCATCGTCGTGTCGGCTGGCGCCGTGTGTCGTTCGAGCGCTTAGCTCGTAGTTGGGACTGTTGCGAGGAGTTCAGAGGTGGCCGTGTGGCTCAGAGGGTGAGAGTTCTACATTGGAGCGCTGAGATGCCACAGTGGAATTTGGGTTTTATCCACCCAGATGAAAGCTTCGTTTTTCAAATCAGAATATTGGAGGAATCCGATGAGCTATGAAACTCTTTGACAGATGTCTCACTTGTTACAAGTTGGTGGTCTCAGCCTGGTCACCAATAGCTGCACAATAAACCCCATGTCGCTTCTGTTGGCTAATTCCAGCTCTGAATTATGTGGTTTTAAGGCAGTCATAAAAGACTAGACTCTTAAGCTTCAGGTATTATCACCGCATCTTAAGAATGCAAATGGTGTCAAAGTTGCTGATGCGCTTCAATATCTACGCCGGATTTTGCGAACATTTACAAACAATTCCACCCCTCTTCACAACCCAGGCAGGGCGAGCCCTCCAGTTGGGAACCGCTGCGCCGGGACTGCCTGCTCCCTCCACATTAGCCAGTGCCGTGCGTCAGCTTGCTAAAGCGAAACTGCGAATGTTCAATAACGGCGTAGAACGTTTGGAACATTTGCTATGCAAGTGGTTAAATTTAGGTGGCTGGATAGCAGATTGTCCTTATGTGCTTTGCCAACGCATTGGGGTTCACTTTTAGCCACCTACCCCCCCACCTTCCCTCGGTATTTTCTGCCGGGTGTTACTGTCGCCTAAGCTGATAAATAGATAAATTTGATACGTGCATCAAATCGTGCGTGCAAGAAACTAATCGCGTACTATTTTTCCAAATGACATGCGCACGCTATCTTGCCGTCGTAGAGGAGAAAAGACGATAAGAACACAACGGAGGAAAGGCCGCAAAAAATAATTGTGTTTTAAATCCGTTCGCACGCGCAATAATTTTCTTCATCCTGTTACGCACGTACGTGCGTGTGTGTGTTTGGTGTATGTGTGGGGAGCGGTGGTGTAGCGGTTAGCGTGCTGCACTACGAACCCGGCGACCCGAGTTCGATTGCCGCTCACGGCCAACATCGGTGACGGATATCTGAACCAGTCCTGGGCATCCCCGAGGTCGACTCAGCCTCAAAAGTGTACTTGGTGTGGTGTCTAAACATCACCACTAGGCGACAAAGGCAGCCGGGCGTGATGCTTCCCACCCACCCCCACGTGCGCTGTGCCGGCCTTCATCGGTGCTACTCGGTAACAGCACTTGCCCCAGCAGCCTGTTAAAGGGGGACTTTGTCTTTTGTTTAGCGGCGCGATGGGGGGCCCGCTGAGCTGCCACCGTGGTGGCCCCGGGAGGGAGTACGGAGGCCTCCCGTACGGCGTGGACCGCATCAACATCAACACGGCCACGGAGGAGCAGCTGATGACGCTGCCGGGCGTGTCGCGCGCCATCGCGCACAGCATCGTCGAGTACCGGCAGCAGATATCTGGCTTCCGCAAGGTGCCCCCTCCCCCCCGCCCTGACTTTCCCTACAACAACAACAGCAGCAGCTGCCATTCGCCACTGCGTGGCCGGTGATGTCACCACGGCGCTTGCGACAGGCGAGGTGCAGTTTTAGGCCATCGCGTGGAGTGAGGAAGAAATCACTGATGACAGGTTAAGGGACGGACCCAGAGGTGTTATGGGTTTGACTGACTGAGATGACTGACAGATGATCCACCCACACGCCAACACACCCACACAACACTCAGCTGGTTTTAGTTCTGTAAAAAAACTATTTTTATTTAACCAGGTCAGGCGCGCTGAGTTAGTGTAACTCTTTTTCAGAAGCTACTTGGCAACAAATGATAGCTCAACGAAGTGGCTTATCATCATGTGGAAATGTATAGCAGCCAAATACTCTAAACGCACGTTGATTCTAAATGTGGCGTGGAAAAACCAGAGGGCCCGAAGAAAAATCCACGCCACCATGGGGAGAACATGCAATATACCCATGACCTCCTGTATACCAGGCGAGGTAGTTAATATCAAGCCACTGTTGTGCCCAAACTCACCTGGAATGTCCCCCGATCCTGTGAGACCTGGGGGAGGGGACCACTGTGCACAAAACGTTTTTTGTTTTGGGTGCGTGCGTTCTACTTTGGCAGCTCTGCTCAAGCGCACACACAACAACCAAAAACTCACGCACGTCAATAGCACTTCCCGAGAGAGGAAATCGTGTATAATCGGTGAGGTTGTAAGTTAGGTATGTTGCTGCACTTCTTTCACATCGTACGCAGACAATCGTGCTATTCGGAGGTGCAGGGGAAGGACAACGAACTAAACATAGAAAGCTTTATACAGAAACGAGTTTGCAATGTAGATGATTTAAAAGTGCAAAGCTCCAGTGGCTTCGTAATGTAGGAGGGAGGAGCGTTCCAGACGGCGACAGAATCACATCGGAAAGTGCACGATGCGGTGATGTTCTTTGTTAGATGACCAGCCAAAAGCCGTTGCTGCGACGATAACTGCAGTTCGCGTGGTGGTTTATATTCTTTGACGTGATCACCGAGGGTGTTGGTGATGGCTTTTCCTCTGCTATGCTGAGTAAAGGGCCATTTCCCAAAACGTCTCCTCTTGTGTATATTCTCCTTTGGGGGCAGCATTAATGACGAACGTGTCTTGACGAGCCAACCCCCAACCAGGATTCTAACTCGACGATCTTCCGAATGCGAGTCGCTTGATCAGCCTCTCGTGTTTGTCGCGCGTCCCCCCCCACTGCCGTCGCTCTGTCTCCACTTGGGCCGTGACCTCTCGCCTGCTCTCCTCTCCGTCGCTGCGGCCCACTTTTACGTTGTGTGGAAATGGTCGTTCGCCGCCCAGCTCTTGATAGAGAATGGATTATGGTGATTGTTTGTCTGGAGGTTTTTGAGAAAGATACGAACGTGATAGACAAAGACAAAAATCCCCCGTTATAGCCTTAATAGACTGTTGGGGAAGTGTTGTTAGCGAGCACCGATGAAGTCTGACACGGCACATAAAGGGGTGGGTGGCCAGCACCACATCCGGTCGTCTTCCTTGTGGCCATGTTTAGACACTGCACCAGGTACTCATTTGAGGCTGAGTCGACCTTGGGGAGGCCCAGGACCGGTTCAGGTATTGGCCGTGCGCGGGAATCGAACTCGGGCCGCTGGGTTCATAGCGCAGTGCGCTAATCAATAAACTGAACGTGATAGATGCACACACACACACATCACCTCTTTCAAGGATATTCTTCAACCGTTACGTCTTACCTTCGCCTCAGCTTTGTTTGAATCCACTTAAAGCCTGAAGCCCGTTATTGATTGGCGTCCAGGAGTGAGGTGAGTGTGTGTGTGTTCGCTGCCGAGCAGTCGGCCGCTAATGCGCACACCGACGTGATGCGGCTCGCTGCCTCACCGATGCGGCAGAGAGGAAAACTGCCGACACGGCCGGATGAGGTCATTGGCAGAGCTGGGTGAATTGGTGCCTCGCTCTCGTGGTCACACACACACACACCACCGTCACGGTCGTTTATTTATTTATTTTTAACCCCCCCCCCCCTCAACATTTTTTGTAACTTTGCCCAACTTGAGAAAGGAGTGAAACCTGTGATGCCGCAACGTTTAATCGAGCCCTTGTTTCGCGGAATGCTCAGCGGATTTGGGGCGTTGGACATCCGTGGGATTTGTGGTTTTGGACACCCACTGGACATCTGTGTCTTAAATAAATAAATGTTCCGATTTGTATTTTGTGGCCTGTGCTCATCAACCTCGATGTGAAACATGGAGAACACACGCTAGGGGTGCTGCACTCTCCTTTGCGCCCCACTATAAGGTTCTGTGCCAGACTGATATTTAATTTTCATCCTCAGAGCTGGAAATGTGCATCATTTAGTGAAATAAAATGTAATATTATGGGGTTATTTTTGTATAGACGAGCTGCCGGCGGATCTTTAAGACGCTTCCCTCCCTCCAGCGAAACCTTTGTTTAATAGCCAATCAGATTAATCCAGTCTTAAATAAAGATTCTGATTCTGAATATAGTATGATATCATACGATGATAAATTATGATGTCATCAGTACGATATCATCAGTATGATATTATAGTATGATAAAGTATGACATTATAGTGTGATATAATAGTATGATGAGTATCGCTTGCATTTGCACGGGAGACACGGCCATGGTGGAGGGTGGGTAGAGAGGGGAGGCGTGACGTCAGCTTGACGCTGTGGGGGGGGGGGAGGGGCGCGTGTGACGTCACCGCGCAGATGTGCACGGTGACGTGATCACCACGCACACATGCACCAGCCTGCAAGGCAGAAATCCAGCCAATAAACTTTTATCTCATATAGTATGACATTGGTAGCCAGGTTGAGACGATCGATTCGCTTGATGACCGATAATTGAAATGAGCGTAGTAAGTGTACGGCCTCAGATTTGAACCCAGAATCCACAACAGTTTGTAAATGGCCCAAAGTTTTGTTGCTATGAGAACTGCGCCAAGCTAAGCTGCGTCGTGCCCCCACAAACTGCATAACCCCCCCCCCTCCATGTCCTGTACCGCTGCCCTTCCCTCCAGACGTCCTACTCAACGGGGGCCGAATGCGTTCCTCCCCAAATGGGGCCGCCAGCTTCACTTCGTTTGTCTCCCGTGCCCCAGGTGGAAGACCTCGCGCTGGTCAGCGGCATTGGCGCCGCCAAGCTCCAGCACATCCAGCCCGAGATCTGCGTGGGGCCCCTGGGCGCCGACGCGGCCGAGCACACGGCGGCGACGACGTCCGCCCCGGGGGCCCAAACGCGGGCCCCGCCCGACGGCGGCGCCGTCCCGAACGAGAGCAACGGCAAGCATGACGGCGCGCGCAGCAACGGGCCGCGGCCGGCGTCTCTCTACGCCAACGTGCCGCAGGGCCCCAACGGAGTCGCGGACGGGGCGGCGGGCGCGGCGGTGGGGGTGGCGGCGGCGGCGGCGGCGACCGGGTCGGGCCGGGTGGGGCGGCCTCCGTCGCCGTGCCTGCCTGGCGCGGACGGAGCGGAGGGCCGACCCTCAGTGCGGCTGGGCACGTGGGACCTCACGAGGTGCACGGCGGAGAAGGCGGAGAACCCTGGGGTCAGGGAGGTGATCGGCATGACGCTGCTGGAGAACGGGTGGGTGCCGCCCCCTGGTCCCCCACACTCTGCCCCCCCCACCGCATGTGTCCGTCATCCCACGACGCCCGAACGCCTTGGATTGACGGTTTTGAATCCACCGTGTGGGTGTTCGCAGCCTCTTGTGTCCGTTATCAACTGGGGAAGACACCCGCAGTCGTGCGTGGCGAAAGCCCAACATGAGATATGGTCCAAACACAGCTCGGATTCAGGTTTTAAAATCTGATTTTGATTGCGTTGTCGACAATGAGATGTATAAAAAGAATAAACAATGAACGACCTGACTAGTGCAAGCCCCATGAGCTACACAAGCGTGGCCGAGGCCTTCATCCAGCAGTGGGCTGACAAAGGGGATGTTACGGTTTTTTAAAAACTATATTTTCAACGCAATGGGTTGGCACTTTCAATTGTTACATAACATGAACCTGATGGGCACTTCCATGGCTTTTGGAAGTGATCGTTGAATCTAACAATGATTATCTACAAAGTGATAACAAAAATCTGGAAAATTAATTTAATTGTGGGGATTGACTGCCTGACAACAGGGAATCTTGAACATACGATATCCATGGTGTCATTCACCGTACAAATAATCAATATTCCTTTCCCCATCTTTAGGATCAAACTCTTGGCTGTTCAGGATGTCATGGACAGAGTTTCCTTGGAAAAGGTAAGGCTGGTGCGGCAGATTACGTTTATTCCCAGTGCTCGCCAAAGCGTGATAATTGGGCATCCCACAGAGTAAGTTCAGATCCCAGTTCACCCAACCCATCTTTCCTTCGGGGTCAGTATAATGAGGACCATTTGCGAGTAAGTCCGCGGTGCTTATGGATACGCTGGCTCTGCTACAGGAATATAATTAACACCACTGGATCAGGGCCATCCCATTGTTCTCCAGCAGAGATGAGCGTCGTTCCGTTGTTTGTGTGAGCAGGGAGATGCAAGGCAGGGGGGTGCGACGCCAAGTTACGGTTCGTGATTACGCTAGGCCCCGCAGCTTGACAAGGCTAAGAACGGGACTTGTGTGCGAATGCACACACACACACATGTGCGTGATGTGTGTGTGTGTGGGGAGCAGTAGTGCAACAGTTAGTGTGTTGCCCTATGAACTCCGGCGACTCGGGTTCGATTCCTGCTCAGGGCCAACACCAGCAACGATTATCTGAATCGGTCTTGGGCTTCCCCTAGTTCGACTCGGCCTCAAACTAATACCTGGTGCGATGTGTAAACATCGCCACTGATGGCCACCCACCCCCTCGCGTGCTGTGCCGGCCTTCATTGGTGCTCCCCGACAGCACTTACCCCAACAGTCGGTTAAGGATTTGTATTTGACGTGTGTGTGCGCGACTGTCCACACAGATCTGCATGGAGATGAATGAGCCCATCACGCCGCAAGTGAGCGGCTGGGAGCCCCTCCTCCGCGGTTCGTGGCGGGGTGTGCTGTCCGAGCCTCCGCAACAACTCCCCGGACAGGTATGAGTACACACACAAAGGCAAAGATGCCCCGCGTAGCTCTTTACTGGCTGTTGAGGCAAGTGACATCCGCGGAGACCCTGTCAAGGCCAGCACGGTGCACGAGTGAGTGCCACGCTCGGCTGCCTTTGTCTATACTGTTAATAGGCTATACGGGAGGAGTCTTTGTCTTTTTCTTTTGATTGTGGCGGTGATGGTGGCGGTGGTGGTGGCGGTGGCTCTTGGCACCCCAGGATGGGACTGGTTGTGAGCAGGGTCGCCTGGGCTTCCTGTGGGACACGGACACGGGCATCGAGCTGCTCGCAGCCTCCTCCCTACACCTCCGGCACCGCGACGCGCTCGGACACGACACCCACATCGCCCCGTTCCTGGGCCACTTCACGGTAACCGTGCGTCGTGCGGCTCTGCCACGGGCCAGGGGCGTGCGCTCCTTGTAGCCGTAACAAGGAGACGAGCGAGGGTCTGCTTCCGCTGCAAACAGGCCGGTGGGCTGGTCCGTTGAGGGAGCGTCGGTTAAACCGGTGGTTCGACTGAAGAGCAATGTGAGCATGCGTATATGAATGCACACGCGCGCACGCGCGGTTTGCATTTCCGCTCACGCCCAGGTACACGCTCTCTTAACATGCTAAGCGTGTTGTATTTATGTACGTTGAACTTCTTTCGCACCGCACGTAGCCACCCGTGCTAATTTAGGTGCGGGAGAACGACAGCAAATTAAACACAAAAATATATATAGAAGCCCTACTGGTACATACACTGCATATTGAAATGTTTTTTTCTGGATAACAAAACACTTCTCTCAATGTGTTTCATTACTATTCTTGGCCAAAACATTGAGGATGCTTGTATTGGGGCTAAGCGGCGTGGTAATTTTCAGGCAGGTTTTGCATTGGGATATTTGGCCCAATTTCATTCGCGAGTGTTTGCCTTCCACGTGGGAGAGATCTCAAGTAGCTGGAGAAAATTCATGCAGGCATGCAGGCGGTGTGCAACTCAAACCTTTGCACAGATGGATGGAAGAATCCATTGCTGTCCTGCCATCTGGCCGACTCGCGGTGGTTGTGATGTTTATTCACTGGTGTTTGCCCAGCATAGCCTCGCCGAGTCTCGGAACCCTTCAACAGGAGGGCCCTGCTGAGGTTTATGCAGTAGAGGAGAGAGGCGGGGTGGCGAGATGTTAACTACCTCGCCTCATATACAGGAGGTCGTGGGTTCGATGCCGACCCTGACGCCTGCTGTATATTTGGAGTTCGCGTGTCTCTCTCTCCCCGTGGTCGCGTGGATCTTTCCTCCGAGTCCTCCCGTTTCCCCGCCCCCCCCCCCCACCCACGTTTAGAATCAATGTGCGTTGAGAGTATTTGGCTGCTGTTATAAATTTCCACACGATAGACCACTTTGTTGAGCTCTCTTTGGTGATAACCAGGGCGCTTCTGAAAAAGGGCCATATAATAGCTCAGTGTGGCCTTCTTACCTGGTAAAATAAAAAACTGAATGTTCGAGCGGTGCCGCTGCTGGTGTATGAACGCGTTGCGCGCAGGCCGGCGGGTTTGAGTTCATCCTGCTCAACGTGCACACGCGTCGAGCGGCCACGGCGGACGCGGCCCCCGCCGAGGACCCGTCGGTGCGGCGCGCCCTCGTGGAGCAGTGCCTCAGGGCGCTGGACGAGCACATCAAAGGTGAGGCTCGCCCCGCTGGCTCGGAGGGGCCGGGTGTCTTCGTGAGGAGTCTGTGGCTCACTCGCTGGCTCGGAGGGGCCGGGTGTCTTCGTGAGGAGTCTGTGGCTCACTCGCTGGCTTTGTAAGCGTAGTGTTGCCAGCACCTACGAGAGGCTGGATTCAACGTCGGGGTTAATCACTCACGGTGCCCACAATGCGGGTGGGAGCAGTGGCGCGGAGACACTTTCTGAGTTTTTGCCGAGTGCGCCGTCCAAGCGGTCGACGAACGTTGCGCGTGTGCGCCTTTGTCCTCCTGCGCCCGCGTTCCGTCGTCAAGAGGAGCGCGCGGTGCTGCTGATGGGCGGCTTCTCCTGCTCCCCCGAGGACGCGGCGTTCGACGTTCTGCGCGACGCCGGCTTTCGCCACTGCCTCCCGCCCGGCGAGGCCACGGAGCTCGGCGCGGGAGGCTGCGTCGACAACATCTGGATCAACCCGGCGATCCAGCGCATCTTCACCGGTACGCGCACGTGCACGCACGCACAAACACCCGCGGCACGGTGTGACCTGGCCATTTGTACGCGTGAACTCGGCCACCCGCGTTCGATTCACGCTCACGGCAAATAGCAGTGACGGTTAATTTAAACTGGTCCTGGGCCTCCCCTCGGTTGATTTGGCCTCAAATGAGTACCTGGTGTGGTGTGTAAACATCACCACTGGCGAGACAAAGGCAGCCAAGCATGGTGTTGCTGTGCCGTCCTTCATAAGTGCTTGCTAACAGCACTTTCCTCAACAGTCTCTTAAGGCTATGCAGGGGATTTTTGTTCTTTGTGTCTGCTAGTCATCTCAGCGAGTCAACCCATTGCACCTGGGTCTGTCCCGTGACCTTTTGCCAGCAAGCCTTGGACGCTTCACATGGCCTGAGTGCACATAACCTGGCACAAGGTGCCATGGTGACGTCCCCGCCACTTATTGGCGAATGGCGGTTGTTGTTGTGTGTCTGTGTGTGTATTTTCGGCGGTGCGTTTATGTGTCTGGCTTTGTGTTATTTTAAGTTTATTTACTCAGGGGCGATGATTGCTGTGTGTTTTGATTTTGGTAATTTGCGAGTGATTTTTCGAATTGAGCAAAATTGGACCGTGACGTGGGCACGCAGTGGCCCACTCTTCTTAGAACATGGCGCGTATGGTATAATTAATACATGTGCAGCATTAACCAGGGTGGCCCGCAACAAATGTTTAACCTGCTAACCGCCGGGCCACGTGACCGGCCCTGTCGTCGGCTTGTGTAAGTCTCTGTAGCCTCATGTGCCTTTTATGCGCGCACGCACGCACGTGTACCCGTGTCCGTGTCTCTGCGTGCGTGCCCGTGTATACCCGTGCGTGCGTGTCTTTGCGTGCGTGCCCATGTGTTTACCTGCAAATATGTGTCTCTGCGTGGGTGCCCGTGGGTTTACCCGCACATCCGTGTATCTGCGTGCGTGGCCGCGTGTTTACCCGCACATGCGTGTCTCTGCGTGTGTCCCCGTGTGTTTAACCGCGTCCACGTCTCTGCGTGCCCGTGCCAGGCCGTGCGTGCGCCGTGCGCGAGGGCCTCTGCAGCAGCTGGATCCCCGACGGCTGGGAGTGGGGGGGGGCGGCATCACGACACTGCCCCGTCTGGGCCGAGTTCATGGCCGATGTGGACACGAGCGCGTGACCCCTGGCCGTCCGGCACGACCCCTGCCCGTCCGGCACGACCCCTGCCCGTCCGGCGCTACCCCTAGCTGTCCCACGCGACCCCCAACCCCCGCCATCTCCCGCCCCGCACTGCCCTCCACGGAGAAACGCACGCGACAACCTCGTAACCCATGCGCCGCGCTGGAATGTACTTGGCTCTACGTGAGGCCGAGCTGTGTTGCCTCCCCTTCGCGACGTTGCGTCCGTCTGACTTGGGGCAGGCCAAGAATCCACTGACCGCCGTGGGGCACGTTGGGTTAAACCCGGAAGGACTGGGGCTCAGTTTGTCCTCGGCACGCTGAGCCTACGTCTCGGCGTGCTCTGTGCGTTTAGTTTGGCTGGGCTAGGCTCTTGTTGGCCAATTTCAGCTGTATTTGGCCGTAACGAGGCTCACAAGGACGTGCTTTAAGGTGCCTTAGTTTGGCTCTTTGAGCCTTAGGCATTGCCTTTCTGTACAGGAAAATCGTGTGACTTGCATAGGGTGGGGTGGGGAAGGCTTAGCTTTCTCACATTCCTCCTAAAATACAGATTAAGAAACACTAAGCTTAACTAGCAATCATATTTATTTTATTTTAATGCTTTTCAGTTCAAAATCATCGGCGGTTACGTGAGCATACACATTCCCCTCATGGTGCGGACAGTTTCAAATCAACAATGTTCCATTTTTGTGATAAAGTTTTCTTAGAGATTTCATCCACAGTTCAAATGTGGGTGCGTTATCAAATGGGGGAGCATTCTCAAATGGAGAGCATTATCAACTGGGGAGCATTATCAAGTGGGGAGCATTATCAAGTGGGGAGCATTATCAAATGGGCAGCATCATGACCACGGCACTGCTAGTCTCGCCGTCACCACCGCCACGTCAAACACGCGGCCGCTTCCTCGATTTGCAGAAACCAAACAAAGCTTGTGCGCCCCTTACCCGTCTGGTCGTCCTGTTCAACGGCCTCCTGTGTGTGTCAGCAAAACTTTTATATTTCCAGGCGAGATTTGAAATTTTTTACGACCCATGTGTTTGTGAGCCATTTTATACCCACCTATAGTTTTGAAAAGCTATTTTGTAATTCAGCGTTCTTGAAATGCCACTACTTAACCTCACCCCCCCCCCCCCTCGAATGTCTAAATAGTTGAGCTTTTACCTTGTTTACCAGTAAACTGACGTGCTACGCAGTGCTGCTCAGCAAAGACGCGTAACTAAGCTAAGCCTCCTGGTGCACACACGCGGAAGCGTTCACAGGCGCACGCTACTCACCGAAGCCTTCACGGCAACATATTCAGACGTGTCTCGACGGTGTATTTTCTACTGCTCTAACCGAGCCGTGCCGGGGCATGTGCCGAGCTGGGTCGGAGGCGGCTCGGGAGGCGCCAGCTTGTCCTTTTCCACCGCGGAATCCGAGCTGAGCCGAACCGAGCCGCCGACGTCTCGTGCGATGAACGAGTCGAGACACGTTTATGTGACACTAGGTTTGACTTCTTCTTGGTTCTTTCGATGAAGTCACGTAAAAGGGAAATAATAAAATAATAAAAATAAAACATAATAAAATAATTCTCACGACGTTTCGGCCACAACGCAAGCAGCTGTCCTCAGGTGAAGAACAGGTCTGTCGGAAAGACAGCGTCTGAGTGAACACCACCAGGCTTGGGAGCGTATATTTAAGCTGGGTTGGAGGGGGAAGAGCGCCTTGACAAAATAATTTGCATATCAAGAGGAATTTAGCATATTTATGGAAAATGCAGATATGGGATTAGTCATTACTTGTTGAATGTGTAGGAGGTGGGCGGGGGGTTTCAAAGTCATAATATGCCCGTGCATTATGCAGGATTAGCAGCATCAAAGGGAGGGAGTAGGGTTAGCATTAATAAAGGGAAGGAATGTTAATGGTATGGAGCTGCAGCAACTAATCAAAATTTAGGTTTGACTTGTCCGCTGCCCCTGGCCCTGCTTGCCCCCCCCCCCCCGAGCCACGTTCAGATGTCTTGTGAGACTAGAAGATCGCACGGTTTATTTCTGCGACGTCTCGTGCGATGGACGAGTCGAGACACGTGTATGTGACGCGGTGCCGCTTGGTTTGAGTTGTGTGCCGCCCCTGGCCCTGCTTGGCCACCCGAGCCACATTTAGATAACTTGTGAGACCAGAGGGTCGCACGGTTTTGGTTCAGGCTTGGCACAGCAAACAGCCAGTGGAGATCCACCCCGTACCGTCGTGGGCCCTGCACTGGCTTGGATCTGACCATGTGGGAAAGGGGAGCTCTGCTTAACCTCGGGTCATGTAACAACGGGGCTCACCCCCCCTGTGCTCCCGTGTCTGGCAACGGCAGCAGGGCGACCGTCGGCGCATGTTTAGGGACGTGGCCCGACAGGCTGAATCGTGAAGGCTGACGAGCCCGTCAACTCGACCGCAGTCCTGGCCACATTGGAGTCCCCTTGTCGTCGCTCCCACAATTCTCCCGGGCTGAATCATCGCTCTGGGAGTATACATTATGATTGTTGTTGTCAGTCTGAATCGGCGAGTGTTTGCCCCGTGGTGCCAATAGAAATCCGCGCGCACTCTGAGTGCGTTGGTTCGGGTTGTTGGGGCTGAGCGTTGAGCATTCCTTATCCGAAGCTTTCGCCACGCGGCGCTGCAGGCCCACCTTCAGGAGTTGAACACATCGATTCCAGATGCGTCCCAACACGCAACCCAACCCTGAAAAATTACACGCAGGGTCGCACCCGCGACTGCCGGAGCCTGGGGTACCTGTGCTGTACCGGTGGCGAGATGTTAACTACCTCGCCTGGTATACAGGAGGTCGTGGGTTCGATCCCGACTCTGACGTTGCCTGCCGTATATTTGGAGTTTGCGTGTCTCTCCCCGTGGTCGCGTGGATTATTCTCCGGGCTCCTCCGGGTTTTTCCCCCTCCAAATTCAAAATCAACTTGGGCGATGATTTGTTGAAGCCGGGTCGCTTCTGAAAATGAACTTGCGCGCGTGCTGTGCCAGACTTGAGCCGCCGAGCGTGATGGAGCGCCGCGTGCGGCACCACGGGAGTGACGTCGACGGGCCACGCGCAGCGGCGCGGCCGCAACACCTCAACGGCGCGGAACGCTTTCATCATTTTTGTTATAAGGGGTACCGTCCATAAATGACGTCACGCACCTATTGGGAGGGGGGGTGGTCAGACATTTGTGACGATGTGTGACGAGGGGGGTGGGTTTGAGAAATGGGACGTCACATCAAAATGCGCAACTTTAATTAAATATAGACAACACATTCTACTTAATTAAATAGACTTTTAATAAATGTTTTCTCTTACAACATCAGAGTGCAGCGCCACATTAATTACGCACTACAATGATGACAATAGTTTAAAGCGATTTGAAGCATGGTTTTTTTTGGGAGGTGGGGGGGGGGTCTGACTTTTTGTGACGCCGTGTGACGGGGGGGGGGGGGTTCAAAAATCGTCCAAAATCGCGTGACGTCATTTATGGACAGCTCCTAACCAGATTGCCATTGTTGCACACTACGTGTCTGTCGCAAGGAGTGTGGTGGTACACCTGATGATGTTTTTACACCTTTGAGGGTCGTTTTAGTTTTTTTTTTACTTCTATGTTGAAATAAGTTAAAGTTATACGTTAAACTTGCCTGTGTTTTTTTGTTCCTCGCGTGTTTTACGCCTCGGAAGAGTTAATTTTCTGCGGCGAGAAAAACTGAGTTTTGTGTCGAAGATCACGAGTGGCCAATCGTAGCAGACCCTTCTTATCACGTGGCTTTTTCTTCACAATCACACTACAAAGCAGGTGTCGTGTTCAGCGGCCTTGTCAATCCACTGCTGGACGAGGGCCTCCGCACGACGTGGTCGGTGTGGGTTGGTGAAGGCGCGGGAGCCGCTGGGTGAAGAACCCCCCCCACCTCGTGGCGACGCCATCCCTCAGCCTTGTGACGTGACTTTTCCCGTCCATGTCCATCACGTGAGCGGAACTCCTCCCAATATCTGGTGGTTGTCTTCATGAAGGACATCGCACAAAGACGGTCGCTGCATCGCGCGCTTTCAGATGCGCTTCTCCGGCCGTCTGAAACGCTCTTCCGATAATAGGAAGCCACTGAAGCTATGCACTTTGAAATCATCTGGATTGGAAACTCATTTCTTTAGAGCTGCTTTTTGTGTTTAGTTTGTCCCGTCCCCCCGCACTTCTGATTAGCACGGTTGGCAACGTACGGTGCGAAAGAAGTTAAACATCCATCGCAATGTGTGATTTCCACCACTTTGCGTGGCTGGGTGGCCGAGTATACAACATGCTCGACGATGAGCCAGTGTGCACGAAGTCCACTGTTTGCCTCCTGCCTCAGATGCCCCAAATTTCCGTAGTCTCATTGGCAAAGCATAACGGAGCAGCCAGAGAAAATGGAAATATAAACAAGCTGCGGCACTTTGTAAGAGAGTGAACCCTCCATTGTGTGGCGGTGCCAGTGGTCAAATTCACCAGCCTGCAAAAATTCAACTCGATTCACAAACCAAAAATCGCAAGCAAGTTAAAGAAACTCCACCCCCAGTAGAGCCGCAGTTATCCAGATCTCCCTTTTACGTGGAGTGAACACCACACTCCCCTCCTCTCAAGAACCCAGAGTACAGTGGGAACATCAAAAGGAGGGAGGAACAGCATGTAGCGTATAACAGGCCAGACGTAACGCAGCCTTGTAATCAGGGAACGGTCACGGTGCTGTGCGTGTTTTCTTACGCGTCTTTAATTCTGCTTTGCCGGGGGGGTGTCCGTCGTTCTGATCGCTGTGCCACAGCAGGCGATAGCCCTGATGATGCCAGTGACATGCCTCTCAGCGTGACCCCGTAGACCGCAGATTTGTTATTTGCGCTCGTTTGTCCTGGAGAAAATTTATTTTGATAAAAAAAATTTTAAAATGAAGAAAAGCAAAAGGTCTATAAGGCGCTTGTGAGCAGCAGCAGCGCAGGCCGAGGAAACGTAGCCGCTCCCTTCATTACTCTACTCTTTGGTTTTGTCGGTAAAGTCACGTAGTTAGAAATTAAATAAAACAAATCACGACGTTTCGATCGCAACACAAGCAGTCGTCATCAGGCAAAGGGTACACAACAGGGTATTCAAGCTTCAAATCAAGATTGCCCCCCTTCATTCTCTCAGCCTATGAGAGCGACGTATGGCTCTGAGCCAAACAGTCCTCTAGCTCCCGCAATTCGATTGTCACGATTTGTCGTCACGATTACATAAACAAAAACATATTTTAACTGAAAGCTTTCGTGACTGCAGGAATTCATATTTTTGGGGTCTTTCGGTAACAAAAAATATTTTCCTTGAACCTATCTACGTGACTTTACCGAAAGACCCAAAGAGTAAAAACACCTTTCTTTTTAAACTTTGTTTTTCCAGTGTTAGCCAGGCGAGAACTCACGAGACCAGGACAGTCTCAGTCTCCACCTAAAAGAAACCTCGCCACAGAAATGTCGACTGGGGCGGGCAGCGCTGAGGTCACGGAGGCCCTGAAGCCGCCTCCTGAGAATGGCCCGGATTGGGAGGGCAGCAGCTCCTCCAACCTCGTCTCCTACCGCTGCCTTGTGGCACGAGTACACTAGAATGCACTCGTGAGTACAGTGCGTAATGCTTACCGATGTTACAATACATTCTTCTCGTGAAAGACTGTTTACCATCTGTATTGTTATTAGCGCTGTTACCGATACCCCAACGAAGCTCTCGTGTATTGGTCGTACGAATGGAATAATGCTGTCGGGGAACGCATCCCCATATGGACACTGGGGTACAATGATCCCTCTAATCCTCCCTGCTGTCGCTTATCCTCCTTTCGTTATTCCACCATTTGGGTCCCGATGCCACAGCTGCTCCCCCCCCCCCCCCCGCCCTGCATATTGACATCCTGTGCTCCTGTCCATTTGGGTCTCTCCGTCGATTTTTTTCTCTCGTGCTCACGAACTAAATCGTACGCCATGCACTTGTTTTGATCAATAATCTTAAACCGTTTCCCGTTTCGAGACGTCTGCAAGTTGCAGGGCGGGTGTCCCGTTCACCGCTCAATCTCGGAACGCGCATGTGGCGTGGCGGTAGTTTTATTGAGAGGCGTAGTAGCGCCGCTGTTTTTAAAGACGTCACCGCAGAGAACTGTAGCGACACGACCGCGCTCTACGACAGCTTGCGCCAAACTGCCACATGCCCCCCTCCCGCATGGTCTTGTTATTTAATTTTAGTTTGCCAATAATGTATGTGTACGTCATCGGAACGGAATCGGTAGGAAATCTGATGACATACCCTTTCCCATTGCGATGACGTACATGTTCGTCATCGCAATGGGATAACCCAAGCCCAGTTTTGTTCCCTCCTTGGTTACGTTCTCCAATCGTTTTATGGTGTCCCCCCCCCCCCCCCCCCCGTCCTCAATGGTCTTTATAATGACCGTTCATATTTATGCCTCTATTTCTATAATTTAGTTTTTGGAGTGCGTCTCATGCCACTGTGAATAGCATTGGGGAGAGTGTGTGAAGCTGATTGTGCGATTCATGATCAGGTTTCGTGGATTAGATCGTGTAAATGTGCCGTACACCCACCTCCACCCGACAGCCAATCGCAAGGTTTGTCACGTTGTGAACAAAACGTACCAATTAGTTACTACTTCAGCACTACCGGCTCTGTGTTGGAGAGCAAACCCACGACATTTACAATTGGAGTTAACGACATCTCGCTAACCATTACAACAACCGGCATCATCATGCCGGGAATACATTAACGCCGTCTAACCCCCCCAAAAAATGAGCATGCAAAATAATGGTCGCAAACAGCCTACGCTGCTGCTTGCATAGCTCCGCTTGTGATTTTTTTTAGTTCTCGTGTAGCTCTTCCGTCTTTGTAAATTATTGATCATTTCTATTTTCGTATTCTTTAGGCGTTTAGTTGTGACAGCTTTATCGACTGCTTTCATCGCGACTGAATCAAATGCTTTTTCATAGCCTGCAGAGCAATGTACAATGGTATTTAACATTCGTTTTATCTTTTCTGAATGAAATGATTGAAGCATCATTCCACAATTGAGGTTGTTTCCATTCCTGTGTATTTAGTAAATGCCTGATCGTTTTGTTCAAATAATTCATACGTAGGACCAATTGGCCTATCTCTCATTAAACTATGCCACCCATCGCATAGAGAAGGAATACTCTTTAACCCTTTCCCGTTCCAAGACGTCTGCAAGTTGAAGGGTGGGTGTCCCGTTCATCTCTGAATCTCGGAACGCGCAAGCGGTTCAGCGTGAATTATATTTAGAGAGGCGTAGTGCTGTTGTTTTTATAGAGATTGTACTCACCGCAGAGAACTGTCGCGACACGACCGCACTCTATGATAGCTGGCACTAAACTGTGCCACACGCCCTCCTGCATTGCCTTGTGAGAGCCTCAGTACCGATGAAGTTATTTTATTTTTTCTTCCTATGTACACATACGCCAACGGAACAGAATCAGAAGATAAACTGATGACGTACACGTACGTCATCGGAATGGGAAAGGGTTAATATTCTGGTGCTGGCTTACGTCTTATCTAAATCGGCTCAAGCATCCCGTGAATCACGTGGCTTCTGTGTGGCCACCCCCACTCTCAATTCCTCCTCTCTCCCCGCCTCCGCGCCGCCTGTGAAAGTAAACTCCTCAGCTCCTCCGTGGAGCTCACTTCTGCCCCGTGCCTTCTCTCCCCATCTATTTCCTCCCCTCTCGTCATCCCCAACGTCTTCGCCCAGGCATTCCTTCTCTCCCATCCTCCCTCCCTGCACGGCGCTCCGTCTTTCTTCCTGCTGCTGTTCATCTTGAGCCGTGCGCCCTCTTTTGTCCGCCTTCGGGGCTCTCCTTCCCTGCAAACCTTTCGCCCTCTCGCACACTGTGTCCCGTCTGACATCTTATGCAACTCGCCAGAATCGTAATCTTTGTTTATACTCGAGGAATCCGATGAGCTCTAAAGCTCTCTGTCGCTGTTGTCCAGTAGGGGCGGGTCAAGAAAGTTACAACAACAACAAACAGAACGAAAACACGATAGGAGTGCAAAGGAATAGGAAAGATGAGCAAATCACTAGAACCATATACGTACATCTACGTTTATTTGAGCAGATAAAGCCCACTTGGCTATAAGCTTATTTTTCATAAGCAACCCTTGACACAACAAATGATTGCTCGACGAGAGGAGGCCCATCGCGTGGAAATGTGCAGCAGCATCACGTCCTCGCCTCTGCACCCCCTTCCCGCGCGGTTTTCAAGTTTAATTTATTAGTTGTAGCCCTGTGAGCCATGTGACTCTTGAGTCGGGTGCAACCGCAACAAACAAAATATGAACAGAGAACGTCTTAAAGCGACGACGCGCAACAGCAACATCCTGGATAAACCAGCAAATCTTCCAGAAAAAAAAACACCGTATTAAAAGCTGTGTGCAAAAATCCCAGTGTGATGCAAGTCAAACAACAACAACAACCATAAGACAATTTAGATTCAAGTTATCAGGCCAACTACGCACTTCCGCAAGAAACGTGGCTTAACCATAATTTTTCGAAATCGCCAAAATGAAGCTATAAAGTAGAATGTAACAACAGTAATGCTACCGACAAGCCGTTTCCACCGC